ATCCGCAGGGTCTGATAATCGATTACCACTTATGTGATAATCGATTGTCACACTATGCTGGATCAACTGAGGAGTTCAGCGTGACCTGATAGTCGATTATTCCGTTCTGTAAATCGATTACCAAGGCACGCTGATTCCCATTTTGACTGTTTGGTTATCATCAATACGTTGGGAGTTTTCTTTGAACGAACGTTTATGACTACATGTTAAGTATTCCATGAATATACGGAGTTTCAAAATGCTTGTATTAACGAGTTCGTAACTTGATAACACGGACTCTCGTATGTTTGATTGTTAACCTACGAGCATGCATAGATTCTACGTAGGTTGCGTACGATATTCCTATGAATATAAAGACATAGATTATAACTAAATGTTCTAGAATTAGAGGGACAACTACTCACCTCTAAATGGAGGGATTGATGGAACGAGATGAACGAATGGTGCTAATGAACGGACAACCGACGATACGCTTCGCACGAACGGCCTAGCTCTTCTTCTCCTTCAACCTTGCACGCAACGGAGCTTCACCGGATATTCCTGGGCTGCTGCTTATCTTGGCCGAAAATGAGAGAAGGAGAGAAGATGAATGGTGATGATGGAGTTGATGATTGAATTCACAATGGGGGGTTACCAAAAGAGAATAATAAGAATGATGTTTTATGGTGATTTAAGAAGATATTAAATGGGAATGATGGGGACAGTGAGAGAGCCGAACCAAAGGCATGGGGGGTTACAAATATATTTTCACTCCGTTATGTAAAAATCTGACCTGAACGGTACGCGCTTTTTCCCCCAAGCGGGTCCGAATTGAAATCCGTTTGCGTTTCTAGAATCAGAGAGTCAAGACGAATATAATGATATGATCAAATAATTTTCCTAAGAACTTTTCATTTTCCCGACCCTGGTCCAGAACAGTAATTAATTAATTAAATTAACCAAGTCTATTAGACCGGTTTGCAGGGCGTTACAACAATGCCATAGGTACGCAAGATTCAAACTGTTAGGTTTGTTTCTCTTAACATTTACGTTATATATTGCGGTATCCATGTCAAGGACATAGAGACCGTTGGTCATTTTTACACTTGCATAAAATATATCATTTCTAAAGACAGAAAGAGTTTTGTCTTTTACAACGAATGAAAATCGTGCTTTGTCAAGCCAGGATACAGAAATGATGTTTCTGCTCATACTAGGTACAAACAGACAATTATTCAAATGCAATATTAGACCACTAGGTAGAGATAAACTATAGGTTCCGACGGCCAATGCATAGACGAGTGCGCCATTGCCGACTTTTAGTTGTATCTCTCCCTCCGTCAATTGTCTACATTCATGCAAGTTCTGCATAGAAGTACAGATGTGAGAACCACATCCAGTATCCATCACCCAAGAGGTGATATCAGACATATTGACTTCGATAACGTAAATTCCTGAGTTTTGAGGCTGACCTTGTTAAAGGTCTCTTAAGCATTGTATCATAGGACACACTTCCATGTCCGCGTGGAGCCTTTGGAGCTCCGCGGTCATACTGGCCATAATGATACACTTTACATCTCGTGCGTCGTCCTCATACTTCTTGAAGGAAGTGAGTTCGGACGCACGAGCATTAGCATTAGGGGTCTTGGGAGGATCCGTTTCGAGGATGTAGAGTTTCCTCTCATAGTTAAGAACGATTCAGAGGTTCATCTCCCAGTCAAGAAAGTTGGTCCCGGATAACTTGTTGTTTTCCAGGATGTAACGCAGGTTGAAAGGGTTGTTGTTGTTTGCCATCTACAGAAAATTTTGCAAAAATCATGAAAATTAAATTTCAACTTCTAGTAGTAATTTTTAACATTTATAAACCTGTAAATAAAATTTCCAAAATTTATAAATCATTATTTCCAAAATATATTAGTTAAATCTCAATAAGTTATAAAATGCCATTTAAATTATTTTCGAAAACATTAAATTATAAAAATTTAATATTTTGAAAAACATTCTTTTTCTTACTGAGATATAAATTTCCAAAATATATATTAGTCATTTATGTAATTAAAATACAAATATATAAATATATATAATATTTCGGTAATAATACCGAGTACATATATAAATATATATTTATTTAATGACTAACTAATATTATTTTGTACAATATATTTATAAACAACCTTATTGAACTTAGAAATAATATTTCAAAGCTTAATAAAGTTCTTTTTGAATTTTCCCATATTTATTTTCGGTTTTCACCTAAATAAATACAATAAATTCAAAATAGGAAATAATACATTCAAAAATTACAATATAATTTTATCAATCGTAAAATGATGTTTTATGTCGAAATAAAATTATATTTACTATTTCTACAATATATATAAATATATATTTCGAAAAATCAAAATATATGTATTTATATATATATTACAGGTAGAAATAAAATAAATAAATTTAAAATTCATTTTCAATGATTTATTTAAGTCCAATACTTATTCCAAGACTAAATAAATTCATTTTACCAATTTTGAATTTTAATAATTACCAAGTTAAAACTTTGACTTTTAAAATTTTAAAAGTCAAACGTAAAACTATAGTTTTGTACGTTGGCTCCGATACCACTGAAAGGTAACCATGCAAGGATAGGCAGCGGAATATAAAAAATTTAACATCCTAACATGATTATCTTGCCCAGAATCACGTACTAAAACTTATAGTGAGTAAGAAATTTATACCTTTCTCCGTAAGCGGTAAAAACGAAGAAGTCGTAGGAAGAGCGTTGAAACTGCAAACGTAACCGTTCAAGCGTCCTGTCTCCAACTTTGACACACGAACAACGCCAGAGTCTACCACAATCTTTATGCTAGTAAAGATTATAGTAGTATAAAATATAAAGATTAAAATTGGGATAATAATAATCTTGTATATTTCTTATAGAAAATATTTCTAATAATATTTAGAAAATATTATAGATATTTTCTATACACAAAATGATATTTATAGAACACAAAGTATTTTCTCTCATTAATAATGTAATGGCCGAAACTTAAAACAAATTGATGATATCTCCTTCTTTTTGCTAATGGTGCGTGAGGTGTATATTTAAAACAAAGATGTGATTAATTTTGTCATTAGCTAAATGACAAATAATTACCCCACTCAAAATTCAATCAAAGAAAATTGTGATTCTCCTCAATCCAAAATGGCCGAACAAATCATTGTGATTGTGAGAAGGATTTTCAAAATTCTTCTCCACTCAAATGTTCAAAGTG